CTGTGTCAAATTTACTGCATTTGAAAGCTATGTGAGTTTCCTTGCCATTATATTATGGGATAGGAAAACTATCTTAATCTAAGATAGTTTATTTCTACACTATTATCATATTCTATTCCTCTTTTTTTTCAGATTCACAAGCACTTTGCTAATGACTTTGCTAATGATTGCTCCCAGTACACACAGTTGTGAGCGAGTGAGATTCAATGTCTTTGTCTCTTTTAGTGGTTAAAAGGATGATTGATATTTTCATTCTGTTTGTGTTGCCAGCTAGTTTGATACCTTCTATTTCCACTGTATCTTTTTTAGTAAGAAGAGAACCTCACAATTTACTGTAAGTTAAAACATGCCTCCAACTGAAAATACTGTTTTTCATGGCAACCTCCATTACCTGCTCAGTGAAGCTAGTATCACCCTTGGATTTAGTATTATCATTGTGTACTCAGTAGACTGGGCTGACTAATGCTTCATTTTCATTTATTTAGCCTCTGAATCACCCTGTGCTTCTAAAGGAGAAAGCCTTGAAAGCCTTGAAAGTTAACAATTTCAGACTCTAGTCAGTCAAGGTAGGAAGAAAATCGTATACCTCTCCTCCATCAAAATGCTCTTCTTCTCACACCCTGCTACCTAGACATAGGAACGGATTGATATAAATGTCTACCAAATGACACAGCAGTGCTCGAGGGCAGAGGTGGCACCTCAGGGAACTGCAACTCATATCAGATAGATTAAAAGTAGTGCCCTGAATTGCAAGTGAAGATGGGAAGTCGTCTGAGGTGTCACCCTCACTCACACAAGAAAAATGTCAAGAGAGCAGAAAGCAAGTTTTTCGTTCTAAGAGGATAAAATGCCTCCAGAAAATCATCAAGGAATTTCCCACTGGATTTCTAAATTGCAGTATTTGGTTTTCCTGTGGGCCCGCTGATGTCCCAACATATCCTAGAGGCTACACTGTAAAACTTGTTGTTTTTCTCACTTTTGCGTCAACTGGCGTATTGTATATGGAGGTTGTCAGTCTGCAGCGGGCAATAACACAGGTCCTCCCAAGGCACCGCAGCCAACAGTACCCTACAGCTGGGGTCAGATTTCGAAGATCGCAATGGGGAAACAATTATAACTGAAGAAATACTGACTGTCTTTCTCAATTCAGCTCAAAACATTTGTATTTCCAAACAACGCAAACACAAAAGGACTTGTTTTGTAGTTAAAAACTGACATAGAAAAGATTGTGAGTGGAACAAGGACCATTGCAAGCCAGTAATTACTAAGACTTGTGAACTCTAGGGAATTAATCATTGCTAGAGAATGTTCAAAGCCAAAGGAGACAAAATCAGTCATTAGAGATGTAGGAAAACATTGGACAATGGAATCATTTCTGACACAGTCAATTTGTAACCTGGTGGAACACCATAACCATTTTTACATTTCTCAAATTCATATCCTAAACTTTTTTTTTGGCAGAGGGCTACAGGAGAGAGGTCTCAAGTGAAGCTCTGCCAGAAAGCAGTCACTACAGCAGATTGCTTCACGCCTTCTTTTTCACCATCTAACAAGGAGTGTTAGTTTAGCATGAAGAAAGCAGAGAGGCTCCATTTATTACCCCCACATCTTGAAGCAGGAGCAGCTCATAGAATAGTAGGAAATCAGAGGTCCTTAGACTCTGCTGCCTTCATATTGCCTTAATGTCCCTGGACACAGGGAGCCAAAGACATCCTTGGCATAGGCCCAGAAAGTTTTTCTTGTTATTCCAAGGATGGACTTGGCTTGGAGGAATTTCCTTTGTTGTGAGTTGCAGTGGAGTTGTTTGGGTTTTTTTCCTTTTTTAAAGTATGCTTCATTTATTTCCATGTCTTTGATGGTTTCCAGAGCAGCTATTTTCTCATTGTCAGCTTCAGTTAAGGACTTCCTTGGACTATGTGACTTCTCCTTGAATGCCTATGAAGGCCTGTGTTTGTTCTGGTCCTGGCTGTCACTTGCAGAAATTTTTTTTTTCCATTTTCCAAACTTAAAATTGGAAATTATGTTGGAAATGAATGGTTGACAATTTGGGGATAAAAATTAGGATTCATTTATTTTCCTTGCAGTTGTCTGAAAACATATATGGATATTGCTCCTGTAGGCACGTACATGTCTCCACCAGCAATTTCATGACAGAGCAGGGTGACTTCTAGCCCCGGTCTATTTTAGGGAGCCAAAGGGGCAGAGTTAAGCTAGTGTGGTGAACTAACTTGAGGTGAAATTTCTTCAATTAAAAATCAATATCAAACAAATGATAGCAGGTTTTAGCAGTGTCCATGTGACTGATCATTTAAATCTCTTTTCTGTTTTCTAGAAATAAAAGTAAAGCAACTTCAACCCCTCCAAGCTTGGCCAGCATTTGCCTGCAGTCATGCTTGTGGTTTGTGCTGGAGCAGCTTGTAGTGAGCTTTTCTTCACTCTCCATATGGGGATTCATCATCTTATGCCCATGGGGAGAGGATAGACAAAGTATCTAGACCTTGTTGATGATGGCTATGATGCTCTTCTGTCTGCGGAGGCAGAACCTGTTCCCTGCCCCTTTCCATCTGGAGACAGGCAAGCAGGGAGGGGTATTGCCTTTGGGACCTCTGCCCTCCTTTCTTGCTCCTGTGTAGAGGAATTAGTAGTTGGAGCCCTATCTTATCCTTGGACATGTATATTGGGCCATTGGCAGTCAGGCAGCTTCTTAGCGCTGCTAGCTGACCCCAGCTGCATCAGCTGGGAACAAAGCCTATTTCTCATACAGGAGGGATAAGTCTGCTCATAACTACCACTATCAGAAATGTGTTATACCTATTGTTGGCTGCAATCTAGGCTTGAACCCCAGTTTTCATGAAAAGAAGATCAATGCTAGAGCTTGCATATAATTGCACTGCTGCTCTTAACTGACAGAAGACACCAATAATCTCTGCTACTTTTTAAGCAAATTAATTTGTCACTCCTCATTAGCTTTTAATGGGTTCAACTTCTAGTGTTGAATGCTTAGGATAAGAAATACACGTTTTCACTGTTTAGGACCAGGTCATTCATATATGTTTTCTAGCCCTTCCAGAAGGAGGTAACTGTTAGCAGTGAAGAAATCTGCAAGTCTCTTCATAATTACAGGAAATAACCTGCTCTGCAGTCTATAAGCTCAAACAGCATTTTTCATCTTCATATTAAACATGTAGCAGAAAACTTCATGGCTACGGGGAATGAAAATGGAAGTGATGTAAAAAGCATGCCTGAAATCAAGACACATTTACTATCTCATCACTTACTGCCCTCTCTGGCTTAAGATGTCTTATTTAAACACTATTCTCACTCATTTCCCTTGTCTTGTCTAATCAGAACAAAAGAAAAGCTGAAATGGTTTTAAATGCTAAGACCATGATCTTCAATGCTGGCTCTGTTGCTAAAAGTTAATTTCTTACCCAATCCATTAAAGAGCACTGGTTTCCCATGCCATATCAAGTTTTGATCACAGCAAACAAATGGGAAACAATAAAAACAGACATAATATGAAACAGATTTTTAGCTTTCTGCGTGATTATTTTCCTTTTTTTTTTATTTTTTGCTTCTGAAAATATCTGAGTAAGAGTTAACGATGCTCCACAGAACAGACCTTTTCTTTTCTCAGTTCCTGTCAGAAAATCTTGGTTTTAAAATAAGATGCTATAAAAATAGTAGTATGCTGTAAGAGTGCTGTTGTGGACTGGGTGACCAAACTTCCCCACGTTGGCTGGCAATATTTCAAATGGAGACTTACAAAGCTTGTGAGCAGATCTATTCTAAACAGACTGGATGAAGTCTATCATGGAGAAGCTCCTTCCCTGATTCAGTGCATCTCACTCAAAGAGTGTGTTGACTGATTCTAGGGCCTAAGTCAATCCATCCAGATGAAATTTCATCTCAATAAAAAAGACAGTAAATAGTCAGAGCTGTAACTGATGTGAAGAGTGAAGTTAATCTATCTCCTGATAAACTAAAACAGGAGACAAGAAGCTAAACTGATGTGCCTGATTAAAAATCTACATGAGTGGGCTCCGTAAGTGGGGAAAAAAAAAGGTTTAAGAGATTCTGGGACTGAGGCTTCTATTTTACACTGTTTTCCTTCAGTTCAGCATCAAACAAGGTCAAGAATACTGCTGTACTCAGTTTCATACCACATTAGCAACATCTTGCTTGCAGGCTTAGCAAGGCCTTACTTACAATAAGTTCCCCCAAGCAGAATCAGGCTCTATTCAATTAATTTGTTTTGATGAAGCGCCACATTGTGATGACACGCAGTAAATGCTTAATTAGATCTTCAGTGCATAAATCATATAACAGCATATTTAGAAGTGTCCCTCACAGCAAGGGTTCACAGGCAGCACTGTAATTGCGCTGACCAACAAAGTGTGCTATCCCAGGCTACCAGCTTGCGTGTGTGGAAAACTGGAAAACTGGCCTGGGGTGGGGGCAGGGCAGGGAATGAGAAACATTTTAAAGTTCAAAGCCAGTGAACAAAATTTATTGTTCCGCTGTGCATTCTTCCACCCATGACTGTCTCAAATTACTCGGCAAAGGTAAATGAGCCTAGAAAAGAGGGGAAACAGTTGAAAAGGCCTTGAAAGATCTATATCATTTTTGCTGGATTTTTGAGACTTTCGAGATGCCATTTCACAAACTATAGGGTGGAAGTTCAAAGAAATCTTTGCTGGTAAGAGAAACAAGTAAAAAAAACCCAAAACTCAAACCTCAAAATCCCAAACAAGACGCAGCAGGGGAAAGAAAGGAAGAGGTAGTAGCAAAGGTTGAGGGTTTGGAGCAGTTACACCTCTATCTGCAAACTCTTTCTGAAAGTTGCTGACAGAGCTTTGGCATCCAATCATCTCCTAACTGCTGATTAACATAGCCCTGTTTTATATTTAACTCAGGCCAGAGCAGGAGGGGCTGGGGGTGGGGTTGCACTGCTTATAAGGGGAGCACGGCAGGCACAATGCTCTTCTGTGTCAGTCCCCTCTGTCTCCCTGCCCAGCTGCACTCCTTTTGATCATTCACATTTCCTCCAAATGCATGTTGTCTTTAATTAATTGAGTGTCTCGTGGAAAGCGAGGTGGGGGAGACAGGCAGAGAGCAGCTATAGCTACACAATTAAAATACAAACCAAGTCCGCTGAGTTTACTGAATGTAAGTGCTGAAGTGACTAATAAACTTTTTTACAGTTAATGTTTTGCTGTGAGAACAGACCCAAGAGCAGAGATGAAGGACATGGATTTTGAAGATGAGAAGTCCAAGAGGTACTGCATAAAGGCAAAGCATGTTGCTATCATCTGTGGCGTCGTGGTTGTGGTAGGTCTTGCCGTGGGGCTTGGCGTGGGATTGAGCCGACCAGAATCTTCAGGCGGAACAGACCAGCCAACAGACCCTCCTGTCCCAGAGGATTTGGGTCCCTGTCCTTCTAAAAATGATGAGACTGGAGACTGGAAACATTTTAGGCTACCCACTTACGTAAAGCCTATCCACTATGATCTGGAAATGAAGCCTGAAATGGAGACAGACATTTACACTGGAACAGTCAATATTTCTATTGTTTTGGAAAATTCTACCAGCAGCCTGTGGCTCCACCTGCGAGACACCAAGATTACAGAAATGCCCACACTCCGGAAATCCTCAGGACAGCAAATTGCTCTGAACGACTGCTTTGAGTACAATCTTCAAGAGTACATAGTGATGAAGGCAGAAGCAGAGCTCCCTGTCACTGATGAAAGTGATCCCTATATACTCACCCTGAAGTTTCAAGGCTGGCTGAATGGTTCCCTGGTTGGGTTTTATAGGACCACCTACACTGAGAATGGACAGACCAAGTAAAGCAGTTTTTTTTTATTTACTAAACTTTCTTCTGTATTTCTCCTTCTCAGGCCTGCTCTATTCCTGCTTCAGCTCCTCAGTCTTATCCCTCACCAACTTGCTGACATTTCTGGGCTGTTCTTTGATTTTCTCATTCCCCTAAGGAAGATGCTGTATTCAAAACCCTTTGGCTGTTGACAAGTGAATGTGGGCTGGAGACGTGAGGGTTATGTTTTGATTTTTCTGAAAAACTTCCAAACTCTGCTGGTAACTCACAGGTTAGCTTTGAGTTTTATGAATGGCACCCTCAAAGAGCTGGAGGGATCAAGGTCTATTTCTATCTCTGTTGTACAATAGATAGCATACAGCTTTACAGCTTTCACCACTCTTTCTTGTCACTCCCCAAGGCAACAGTTTCAGTGTAAAATGCTCCTGTGATAGTTTTTCTGACATCATGCCTCCTTAATGCTGTAAGCCTGAGGAATATCCAGACCCAGAATCACCCTGTCCCTACTGCAGATGGTTTATATTATGGGTAGGAAAAACCAAATTATGGAGGATATATTTGACTTGGGTTTTCTGTGCTCCAGCTCTTCCTTTTTAATATATCAATAATTATTGAAATATTACAAAACCTCTACCAGTTCATTTAACCAATTCCACTTCCCAGGTTTGCACTACTTCAAGGTGGAAACTTGAAAAAGCCATTGGCCACCACTCAGAGGCATTTCTTCACAGTTAATATATGGAGAGGACACTCAACCAGTTTCCAATATTTACTCATTCCAGTCTTTATGACTAGAAGATAAACTCAGCTAGACTTTTCCAAGGCCCTGTAGCAGGAACATGGAGACAAACACTGCTGTATTTTTACAGCACTTGTTTGCCCTAGGGACAGTGGTGTCATGAGTGAGAGTTGCAGCAGCTCCATTCAGCCACTGACAGACAATGCCAGGAGCAGCAGCAGTGACAGGCACCACCACCAGCAAATCCAAGAGGTAGAGGAGAAAAGAAGCATTGATTTTTCATACTTAAATATCGTTATCTGATCTGGGAATAACACACAGAGAACAGCTCAAACCCTAGCCAGTTCTTTCCTCCATCTACCACCTCAGTATTGCTCTGACTTGGAAGATGCTTTGGCTTTATACTTTGAGCACATGACATCCCCACAGCAGTTTTAAAGCGTAACCTCCTAGCATCTTGCTAAGTTGAGATGTGTTACTTCCTTTTTATTGGTGAAGGATATCTAGATATTAAACGAGTTGCCCCAGATCTGTCACCACATCAGACCAGCAGGACCAGGATGTGGATCTCCTGAATCACAAAGCAAGAGAGGCAAGTGCCCTTCTCTCAGATCCAGACAGTGTAGGAAGGCAAGGACCAAGCATTTGATGTCAGGAAGAAAGGAGAATTTCGTAAGCTAAAGAAGGCATAAACTGTGAACTCACTTTGAGAGCGTTCCTACTTATGGATTTGGATGCTGGAAGCTACAGTTGCAAGGATGATCCTAGCCAGCAGTTTGAAAACAATACAGAAAGAAACCTGAGCATGTGAGTTTGTTTGTTAGGCTTAAGGAGGAGTCTCATAAGAATGAGACAATGGTGATTTCTGAAATGTTTTTCATGTAGTTTAACTTTGGGCAGATTGTTTGTGGAGGTGGGAGAAGCAATGTATGTGATAGTGATAAGTACAGCTTTGTAACAAAAGCAACCACCAGTGCTATGCAGAGTGAGAGTAAGTGATAGGATTGGGTGAGGAAGGATAGCGAGGGAAGGGGTTTAATACTTATTAAAACAGCATTTTCCCCTAGCTTTCTATTCAAAACCAGTTCTGACTAGAAATAGCTTTTTTCTTTTGCCTTTGCCTGAGGTAGACACTACCCTTGGAAAACTTCAACTCAGCTAGTTCCTTTTTGTCATTTTGTAAGTAAATACAAATCAGTCCAGATACTATTAAAGACAAAGTGGTTGTTACAAAGAAAAGGTAAAAAGGAAAAGGTAAAAATGAAAGCCAGTGTGTAATTAACCTACAACCCATCCCTTCTGTGCAGTGTTAGAAGCAGTGGGACCTTCTGAGAGAATTAACACTGGAAAGTCAGCTCTCAGGGCTGAGCTGCTCCCCAGCTGTGTATCTGTGAAGGCAAAGGTTTGCCAAAGCATTGCTATGATGCCATTTGTTTACAAACTGGGCATATGTCCAGGCTCGGCTGTAGCTTAAATTGAAATCTCCCACTACATTTTGTGGGAAACAGGTAGACATGTGCGGAACATGCCTGCAAGTGTGGGATCCTCGGGAGGCTTAGGGAGAAGAATGCCTCTTCTGGGAATCCTGTTCAGACAGATCAATCTCTGTCAGGAAAAAGGTGCTTTTGGACATGCCCAGAAGCAAATTTTGAGATTCCTTGGGAACACAACTATTTAAATTGGCATGCGTGTGCCTGCGTGAGCAGGAAAGTAGAAACTCTGAGAATGCAGTTTTTAGACATAGACCTGCCTAGATCCTCTTTTTGTTGCCTGAATCCAGCTGTAAGCATTGAAGTCCTTTGGTAAAGCTATTCCTCTGACTGCGCATTCAAATTCCCCATTGGTGAAAGGAGAATAACAGTCCTTTCCCACTTTGCATGATGCAGTGAGCATAAATACATTACCGTTGTGTTATTTTCAGATATTAGGGAAAGGAACAAAACAAATTCTTGTCCAGTGTAATGTTAAGTTTGGGAGTTTTTTTAACTCATTAGTTTCCCTCCAGGAATGTGCTAAAACCTCCTTTTGCTTTCTTAATATTGCAGATAATACAAGCATATCACAGCAGCTGGTTTTTATTTTGCATTACTATTAGTGGCAAGGTATGGCCTTCCTTTTATAGGAATTCTCTCTGTCCTTCTTAAGGAAAAAAAAGGCTTATAAGAGTTACTCATTTGGACACACCTCTAGCAGGAAGACTTGAATTTAAGATTTTATTGATTAGTGAAAGACAAAGTATTCTTTAGCATACAGAAGTAACACTCCTGGATTTCTTCCTCAAGAAGAAAAACTTCTCAGAAGAAGCAATGAATCTGAATTTAAAAAAACTAGGAGAAAAATGCTTTAATTAGTTCAAAGGGAGTGATATTTGCAGTAACTCCCTGTGCTTTGGGAAAAAAAAAAAGCAGGGGAGTGGAGGAGGAATTCATCATAGTTCTAAATGCACCACTATTTTATTTTGGGAACAACAGCTGGATGCAGTTTCAGCCAGTTATTCATTACTTATTATTATGATATTTACAATTGTCACCGCTAGTTCACACTTAAAGGTCAGGACATCAACAGCAAGTAGAAGGGCATAAGCCATCAAGCAGTGGAGAAAATCTTATCTAAAAACTGCATTATACGGTTTGGGTTCTCATCATCTGCCCCACAGGAACAGTAGTGTTAAGGTCTTGCACTGCTAATCTCTGTCTGCCTCCACAAATATATGAGGATAGATGAATTATCACCTTATAAATCAACAGAGATATCTCAGTGTTATCACTATATAAGAACAAGATATAAATGTGTCAAAATATACAGCCAATTTTTTAAGCAATAGCTGTGAAGCATTGCCCTTGAGACTTGACGTTAACTTAATTGCGAAATAACTTTCAAATCCTACAAAAAGTAGAGAGTAACATCAAACATTTTACCAAGAAACTCTACTGAGCCTGAAGTTATGTTAGGGTGAATGTTCATTATGGTCTCTGCCCATGAATTTTTGAGTTACTACTGCAACAAATATGAGTGGTAAGAGCCCAGACATATTACATCCACCGGGCTTGTAAATGACCCTTGCTGCTACAAGTTCCTAATGGCCAGTTTAGTATTTAAACATCATAGGGAAATGCCAAGTGCAACAGAAACATTGAAAAATTGGTTGTCAAGGGAGCTTGTAGGATTGCTGCACTTCTGTAATTTATGACGTACACTTTTAATTACTTTTTGGGAAGAAAAACTACCTTAATAGAGTTGGAACAGCTGTAGAAGTGCTGTCAGAAAATGCTTGACATTCCAGATTAATTGAAGAAGCATCTGTGATCCCTTTCACCATCAATCACTGGATAATATGCTCTGTGAACCACTGTGTGGTTCATTAATGGGACAGCCTGATGTCACTGTGAGAAGCAAGCACGTGATATAAACGTCCACAACCTTCACCTTATTTTTTCATGTGGCCCCTATTGTCTAGCTCCTCCAGTTGTTTTTCCATAACTGAGATGACTTTCTAAACCCCTTTAACACAGCTAGCATATCATCAGTTCCGTACTGGGATGTTCACCTGAAGTTTCCATGCTTTCTCCAGCAGTTTCACTAATGGAGTCAGGAGACCATAGCAGCACCAGCTGAAAACTGTATGTAGTAACTGCAGAAAAGGAAACACATAAGCAGGATGAGATTTCAGGGGCATTTATGCAATTCCAAGATGTCTTCTCAGTAGACGTTCAAGACTCCAATACCAAGATATGCTCTAGTGGGCAAACAACACATGGAGTAACTTAAATAAACATCTCTATACCAGGACCTTAATTTCCTTTCACATGATACCAGCAGTAATTTATTTTAGACACATAAATCAGTGGGAAAGCTCATTAGGAATGTGAGCAAAATTTTTACCATCCATGAGTGCTCATGCCTACCTTATTGCCAGGCTCCTAAAAATATTTGACAATAAACAATTGGCTTTAGCTTTTGCTCTGAAACCTTGAGGATGTTGATGACAGACTGACATACACGTGTTACACATGCCTATACAATGCCAGCTTGTGCATTTCTGATGTCACCTACTTTTATGAATGGACAAGTACATGCAAATATTTGTAGTTGACTTTAGTTCACAAAATTGCTAGAAAATTATGCTTAGAAATTGCAGATACTATTTAAAAGGTATATAATGAAGGTTTGTCAATGTGTTGTTTGTTTAAGGAGCATTGCAGCTACTGATCATGAGCCAACAGATGCACGGAAATCATTTCCTTGCTTTGACGAGCCCAACAAAAAGGCAACTTACAACATATCTATCATCCATCAAGATGAGTACCAAGCACTTTCAAACATGCGAGTACAGGTACGTATTTCCCAACTCTGTTGCCTAAGTGGAATGGTTCTGTAAAGCCATTGAAAAGGTAGCATGGATCACAAGGTCCCTGCGCTTTTATGGACTCTACTACCCAAACTCTGTAAAGCTAATAGTTAATAAATTCCATAAAACAGGACTGGTTAGTTGATTAGGATTCTTAGTGGTCCACCAGCACACAACATGGCAATACAGGGTCAAATTCAAAGTAGAAATGAAATGTGTCTTCTGTTTTTAGCTAGCTGGCCCTCTATTCAGATATTCTAGGTGAGCATCCCTTACTAACCTGGTAATGGCAGATTCTTCAGTCAGACCAGGTGGACTATGAGAAGGAATACTGTGAAAGACAGCTCCTTCCCATATTGAAAATCTAAAATAGTAACTGAAACTACATAATGGTCCAAAGCAGAAGTCTGCTGATCAATATCTAATGGCAAAGGATCCTGCTAGCAAGAAAGTCTAGGATTACTATTTTTGATAATACAGAATCTGAAACTCCATCTGTCAGCTCATGGGTGTGGACACTCATCAGACGACTGTGACTGTAATTTCCTAAATAATCTATTTTTGGACCTGGTGGATTGAATTCCAACTTTTGTATGAAATTCAATGGCATCAGTTATCTACCTCTGAGCCCTCTAGAAGAAGATTGAATGGCTTTCAGCTGAGAGAGTTTCTAATGAATAGTTTAATTGAATGTGTAGTCCAATATATAATTTCTAATGAATATGTTCTGAAGTGGGAAATAAACTGCCAAGTTTTAAAAATAAATAAATAAATAAATAAATGAATAGAACTTCCAGCCTCCAAGCTGTTGACATTTGCATCTTCCCAATCACTCCCTCACCCAGAAAACAAAAGTCTGCTTTTACTTTGTGCGGGTTTACCTAAAGATTATACCAAACTTTAACTATCCCCTAGCAATACATCTGAGACAACTATTACAAATCTGCCTTCCAGACCTTTTGTAAGTTTAAAGTTCTGTCTTACTATTATTAAAAATATTTCTGTGATACCTAAAAGCGTACCAGGCACTTTGATGAACAACACATGCAAGGAGAGTGTTTCCTGTACCTTTCCTCCCAGACCTCACATAAGTGAGGGTACCTGCAAAGAGGGTGAGAGGGAGAGACTACGTGTTATCAACATTTAGTGGGATTGGAGATTTACTTTATGCCTTTACACATAGACCTTGCCTCTTGTGTGGATATACAAAAATAAGCTTTAAAAGGGCTAGATACCACATGTTAATTTGCTAAAATTCAAGCACAGGCAGGTAAATGTAGATTATGCGGGGTTCATACTCAGGTTTGACTAACAGATGATATGAGGGCACTTTTTCATCTGGTTTGTTCACAAGGTTAGTAGCTCTGTTCTTAGCAGTGAAAAATCTTTGGGTAATCATTTCAATGGATGGAAATGTAATAGCTTGTAAATGCAAAGCACATTCTGTGTTGCACGTACTAAAGTAATTTTGGTGGTGGGGAGCTTTACAATCAACATGGCAAAATCAGCTCAGCAAAATCAGAAACTTGTTCATTTAATTTGCATTTTTCACTGATTTTTTTTTAACTTTTTTTTCCACAGAAGTTTTGAGTTTGTTAAAAGAAAAAAAAAAGATATCAAAATAGAGTCAAAATGAGTCAAATAATGGGAAAATAGATTGTAAATATCTCTTTAAAAAGGGGTTTATGAATATATCTGTGAAAAGGGTTTTTTTGCTCATGGAATCTTATTGCCTGCCACATTCACTACCTATGCTCTATTTATACTGTATTTGTAACAAACAAATCTCATGAAGTATTGTATCTCTAGTAGAAGGTTAATGTCTCTTATATGCCATTTGCTTTTATCTTATTTAAGTTACTTATCCAGTCAGAAGCACAAAATATTATTAGACTGGCAACAGCAGATAATGAATATCAGAAATAAATATTTAGAGGATGAATGACATACAGCAGGTTGCAGGTTTGGTCATGTAGTTCTCTTGAGAGTTAAGGGAATTTGGGAAAGTCAGGAGTGATTTTTAACTTAAAAAATAAAAACTATGACCAGTACTAAACCTTATGTACATTTAAACAACTCATCAATTAGCAGCGCTACTTTTTATCTGAATTAGTTTAGGGCAGATTCATTAGACTGGTCTCTATCCTAAGGACCACCTCTACAATCCCTAAGTCCTACAGGATGCATATATTTAAGAGAGGAGAGAATCCAGTCTCTTCTCTGCTTTGTCCAATGTGATGGTATTTTATGCAACTATTTCAAGAACAAAATACACCAGCATACACTGGAAAACTCCTGTTGGCAAAATTCCTGTGTTTGTGAATGATTTCAAACCCTTGATGAAAATTAGAACCAGGTAAACTTATATGGTGCAGAAAAGCAAAGTCTCTTTTCATGTACTGCAGAAAAAGCATTTTGTCTGTTCTCACGCCATCAGCAATGGGATGCCAGAAGAGGTGAACCTGGAGAGGTGATTTTTGATTCCTGTGTAGTTTCAGCCTTCATAGAAATACTGTACACTCTCCTGCACGTATTTGCAATTCAAAAAAATCACATTAATTATTTTTCCATTTCTGCAGCAAACTGAAAACCTGGGCGGTGGCTGGACTCGAACAGTTTTTGAGAAGTCAGTTCCCATGAGCACTTACTTGGTATGCTTTGCAGTGCACCAGTTTCGGTATATAGAGAGAATATCCAAAAGTGGAATACCTGTAAGTCCTGTTGCTTTCTAAACATTGTTCAGATGACATATGTACCGTGATTTGCATTGTTTTTAAAAATGAAACATCTCTTTTTATAATACAAACAGAAACATATTTTTCCCTTTCCTACAGTCTACCTTATGCATCCTATTTTATCAGATTAGGCGTTCACAGTGGTCTCTCTGACTTTGACTACATACAGTTTTTTGCAGTCCTTCCCTGTCTCTGATTTTGGTGAGATCCCAGCCAGACCTCCTATACCAGCACACAAGTGAGGAAAGAGCACTATTTCTCTAACCTCCTCCCTGATTTGAAGCCCAGAGTCTGAGGGATTGTACAAGTCCAGGGATACAAGAGATTCACAGGCCGTGGATACAAATACTTCACAGTTTTCTGTGGGTTAAAAGGTGTGTGTCTGTGGACACTTTACAAATAAGTATAGAATTGAATAGTGCCTGAGTAAACTTCTGGATATCAGGTGGGTGCCCTAATGAAGTGTGTATGTCTGAATATGAATCCTTAAAATTAAAATAATTCCTTTATTTAGATGTAACGGGCAGTCCAATCCAGTTCTCACTTAGATTCAAATCTCCTGAAGGTGCAGCTGTTCAAGCATAAGGAAACCACAAGGCGTTAACGTTGAGTCACAACCTGAAAACCCAAATACAAGTTGCCTCTCAATATAAACTTCTCATTTAGCCTAAATCTAGTCTGAGATGCTCAACCTGCTGTTAATTATTTACTGGATAATATCTTTTTTGTCTGAGGTAGAGGATGATCCCAGGGCTGTATGGTTTTGCTGCTTCCCTTTCCTTTCCCTTTAGGGAAGACATGGTCTTGCAGTTCATCGGAGCTGCCAGCGCTTTCCTCCTCTTCTGGAGGCAGTGACCCCAATGGGAAGGGAATTTGGAGCAAAGCCCCAGCCAGACCATGTTCCCCTAGCAAGTAACCTCTTCCTGAGTTTCTCTACCCAAAAAAAGTTTGGCAAATCCTTCCCTGTTTCAGGCTGCTCACTGATGTGAAAATCTGCCTTGTCCAAAGTGCTGATGAAGCACTTAGCAAAAGTGATGAAGTCTTAGCAAAAAGTTGCTGGCATAGCGCTGTGCTGAGGCCTCCTTCCTCCATGCCCTTGTTAGCATCATGCTGGACACTTAGATTTCTTGACAAACAACTACAGCTAAATTACTTAGCCAAGCAAATGGAGCCTGGTTTGAGATAGCAACACAATTCTTAGATCTCTGCTGTTTGGCTGAGTAATTTGCAAAACAGGAGAACATTTGAGGCCACCCAGCCACACAATTTTGTTAACAAGATGCTCTTCGGTGCAGCTGCTCCATTCACTATCAGAGATAGACTTAGGTTATTTGACCTCAATAGATATTGTCTAGAGTTTAGTTATTTTGAGAATCAGAATTTGTGCAGTTTTTGTAGAACATACTGCAGCAGGGGGAAAAAACAGGTGCTGAAGACGTATAAAACTTTATGTTGTAGATGCAAAAGTTAACACTCTCTGCTTGCCCATGCCATGCTTCAGAGTATGGCTTTGAGGTCAATATTCATTTTTTTTCCTCAAGCAAAACAGTGAAGCCTACTCTGCTCCTGACTAGTTGTAACTCTTTATATAGGAGCGAGCGTTCATTGAAATGTGGTGATTAAAGTGTATGTGTAGAGGCAGGGATATTTGTGTGAGTACAGAGGTTGCCTGAAGAAATGTCCTCTAATTCAGGCCTTGATTACTACCTACTTTATTAATGCTACTTGCTAAGCAATGTCTGAAGACTTGCCCGCACTAGAAAACTTGGGGTTTAAGTGAGGGTAGAACTGTAACTTTCCTTTCTCTTAGCATGAACGTAATTTTACCAAAGTAAAGTATATGTGTAAGATTGTTTTTATTTAAGGAAGCCACATGAATTCCATCACTAAAAATTACCTTTTCCCTGAGAGAACTAAGTTATCTTTAGAGTTTTCAGTCAGGTATTTAAAAATTCTTTCTCCCAACCAATCAGTTCCTTTCCAAAAACTTTGAAGCCCAGTCAAGCAATGAGATTCACCAACTGCTGGAAAGAACATTCCATAGTTTGCTGTATAAATTGCTAGCAATAAATCCCTCATCCACCAGAAAATATCTATGTGATCCATATATCACTTTCATAAAAAACAGCAACAGTATACAGTTCACATGACACAGTAAATTATTTTAAAAACTCGGTCATTCACTTTGAAAGACGTTGCCCTAACAAAAAACACAAATGGGATCAATGGTAGGAAATGTGCCTACAGCTGGAAACGATGCTCCTGAGCTGATTACGTGTCAGGTACCAAATGTCTGGTTTGGAAAATCACGGAGATTATACAAATGAAACCCAAAGCCAGTTCTAGTGCACGCTGAAGGTTTTGGAAACCATTAATATGGATCAGCTAGGGAACCAAAGACTGCTAAATTGAGTAAAGAGCTTACTGAAGTGGAAATTGCAGATTGTAATTGCAAACTGACCCTGAGGGAAATCCTCTGGCTGGAAGGGATTCCCAATAGAATTTCATAAGCTTTTTTTTGTTTTGTTTTTTTCATACCAGCTTTATTTCTGACCACTTTCCCCTCTCACTGAAGGAAGTGTAATTTCATGGTATTGAAATCTATGGGTTATCAGGCTCAAAGAGGTATTGTAGAGTAGGCTGACTCCTTTGCTCAATTCGGACCCTAAACTGTTGGATGTAAGACAGCACTGAGAAGTAAACAAGCTGCACCAACACAGCCTGAAGAATGTGGCCCATTCATAAAAGACACAGAGCCTGCAAAATTAGATGGAGTGGTTTTCCTAAAGCCAGAAACTTCACTCCATATAAAGACCTCTTTCCGCACTGGAGATTTTGGGGGAGATTGGGGATTTTTGGGAAGAGAATGGCTCACAGATCCTGCCCATGGACACTTGTCTTGGTTTAGAAGACAGGGGAAAG